CTGAAATTGCTTTCTACATGAAATGACAGATTGCTAAATTTGTAGGCAAGGGTTCAATTGCCAATTAGTCTTTCACTTCCTTCAAAAATAAGCTTTGTTCAATTTTTATTGCTTTTCTCTTTCCTGTTTCAATAAAATGATCTCCAAAATGCCTCCAGAAAATTTCTGTTATGGATGTTTGAGAGGGAAAGTCTTTGAGTCAAGGGGGCTTTTCATACATTTTCTCCCAGAGAAATCAGACTGGGACTTCAAACAAATTTGACATAGGGGATGTATTTGATTTAGAGGAATTGGAATTATTGAGGTTCAACTGCATAAACCAACTTAACTTGAACCTCGCAGAGTTTGAGCGACACCTATGTGATGGTACATGCAATGGAGTACCTTGAGCTACTGAATTGGAAGAACCAACATTTGCCTAAATGTTTTGTAAAAATATTAACAAGTTTGTTGAATGTTTGAATTGAAATACTGTATCGAGTAAACTGTCGAAAATTTAGTTGAGGGGTGTTTAGAAACACAAGATTTACTGGAATTGGCAGAAGACCGATAATCCTGAAGGAATCTTGTGGGACGAGGAATGACCTCAAGTTCCCACGATCTTCCTCCCAAAAAGCATCCTCTAAATTTGCTACGCTAAAAAGACCTTGCGATCCAAGGATATTCCTTGAACAATCCGAAGGATTACTTTCCGGAAAAAACAGTATATAAGCAATGAGATTTTCCATAAACAACACAGTCCAGTTCAGACCTCGCGATTGTCCAACGAATTTGCGTTGCGTTTGCGTTGTGTTGCGTTTGCGGTTGCCTTATCATTCCTGTACAAATTCAGAAATCAAACGGTATTTTGCTTCCTTCTCTGAAAATATACCACTTTAAACTAGGACGCTGGTCCCGGCTGCAGCCCGTCTGATTATCTGGTTTCATTTATAATCCTTTTCTCGATTAATCTTTGTTGAAAATCTTCGATCCCTTTTGTCAATCGGAAGGAAAAGCAATTTCTTTCCTTGTCTGAAAGTAGTTTAAAATATCTCTTTCTGACATAAACTGTATTTCTTATTTGCTCATATTGTGCGCATTTTCCCGGTTTGTGAACTTCGACGGATTTTCTTTTTCACTTAATTGTAATTTATGTCTGTTGTGTGTTCCTCGGATTATTGTTGCTATATTTTTCGAAGTCCATGGAACTGCCAAATATCGAAGAATGGAACCTAAACGCTGTGGACTTCGATGACTTCAGCCTTGACGCGGACCAAATGGTGCTGGCTGCAGTAGCCATGTGTCAAGATCTTGGATTGCTTCGCCGATTTTTAATCCAGCCCTCCGTAAGCCAAAAAAGACGACAAATTCTGTGTATTTGTGGCATTTTGCTGACTTCATATGTTTTCATGCAGCTGTTATTTCGTTGGTTACTGACGGTGAGGCGAAATTACAGAGACATACCATATCACAACTGGAGACATGCGTTCAATGTTGCGCAAAATATGTACGCTATGTTGAAGGTAAAGAAATACGGATGACGATGATGCCCTGTGGAAGATAATCATGCCAAATTTTTCTTCGTCTTCCCGCGCAGAATTCGTTATTGAGAGAATGTTTCAGTGACGAGGAGGTTCTCGCTTTGTTTGTATCATGCCTATGTCACGACTTGGACCACAGGGGAACCAATAATGCATATCAAGCCAAGTGAGGACCTTTTTTTATTTATTTAGTTTCAACTGCAGCATGGAGTAGTTTTTCTCTTCGTCGTCGCGCACTCTTGTTTTTTTTGCTCGGGTATTTGATTTTTCCTCGTACGCAGATCCGGATCGGCTCTCGCAGCGTCGTATGGCACGGAGCACACGATGGAGCACCATCACTTTAATCACGCCATTTTGATTCTGAGTTCCGAAGTATGATTTTCCCACGTCCTGCTTGATGGGGGCGTGTCGATTTCATGAATTATTATTTTTTTTCTCTTGCGTGTCTGGATTGTGTCTCAGGACCACAACATTCTTGCCGAATTCTCTGCGGAGGCGTACGCGCAGATCGTGACTCTGATCAAACATTGTATCCTTGCCACGGACCTCACGGTGTATTTCAAGTACTGTCTGGGAGATGAAGGGGAATCCATGCTTCAAATTTGGTTTAACAATTTTCTTTCTTTGTTTTTCTGTGTGTGTGTCGCTGTTAGGAATCGGAACGAGTTTCAAGAGATGACTGCGGAGCTGAGAGATATTCTGCAGTTGCCGAAAGACGAGGCTGTGAAATACCTGACGGAAGACGAGAGGAGAGAATTGTTGCAAGCGCAGTTGATGACGGCGTGCGATTTGGCTGCGTGTACGAAGCAGTGGGATATCCAACGTCGGGTGGCTTATCTGGTCACTACTGAATTCTTCGATCAGGTGTGTTTGATGTCGTCTATATGGAGAGGAACTGAGGATGGGAAATTTTCTGATGCGCATGGGAAGAGCGAGTGTGTGAAAGATGCAGTTGAACGCGAATAATTCGAACCTCCTTATGTCAAATTTTTTTTTTTCGAGTCCCTGTCCGAATTTCCCTGGAAACGATGCGTTGAAAAACCTGCCTAACTAAAAGGCTTCCCCCCCCCCCCCCCACAAACCTCCATTGCTCGAATCTTTTGGAAGTCTTTTGGCTGTTTTATTGACACATGAAAGAGGAAAGCAATGAAAATGTTATTTAATGTGTTCTGAAGGAAAGCAAGGGACTAATTTTGCTGATGAACCCATGCCTCCAAGTTCAGTATCCTGTCAACTCATTTAAGGAGCAATTCAAGGCACTGAATACCATCAATTACTGTACTATTTCCTGTGATTCTTTCTCTTTCCCCCTCAAGAAATGATTGTTTACCTGATTAGAAACCTCGCTATTTCAAAATTTTTTGGCTATTCCCTTGAAGTTTGAGTCGAGGTTCAAATATATCTAAGAAGGCACATATACAAAAACAAAACAAATCTCAAGAACGCAAGTACGTTGTGGCCCCCAGATCCGGACTCAATTCGTGCTCGGACCTTGTCCCCATGTCAGAAAGTCCACGTGTCAGATCACGTCTACCCATGGGCTTCAATGTTAACCAATTTAATTTGTTCTCCTATTTATTCATCAAAATTGGGAAAATGTTCTCCAAAGAAGGGCACACTTTTTCTCAACTTCACTGTAAATAAAATATCTGCATGAGAAAACCCCACAGAATTTGATATGCTGACCTGGAAAGGACTGAAGGAGCTCAAAAAGACAACAAACAAGCGCAAGTCTTTCTTTGCTGTGAGCATATAATGGGAAAAAAACTATGAGAATGAGGCGCAAAATTAGCCTGTTTTCGATTTTGAATTAGAGTAAATTTATAATAAAATGTATTCAAATGTATCCTTATATTCCTGCATATGAATAGTTCAATTCGTTCAAGAGATGCCAAATTTCGTTCAATACAATCTTAACATTTTTGTGTAAATGCTGGCCAAGTGTCTGTATATTATTGAGACATTTTCCAGATGTCCTGACTTTATTTTTCCAGTTTCAAGTTTCCCGAAGTTGAATCGTCCGTATGATGAGCCATACTGTACAGTATAACAAGACGAAGTCGCCAAAGCTCCTCTATTCGTCGGAAGTCACAATATCCTCAGTAAAATGAACCACAGATGCTTTCCCGGTCATCGTCAGTCTCCAAAGATTTAAACGAGCGAGTTCCGATGACCGAATCTGTTCCAAACTCGCAAGACTTTCTCGATCGGAATCTGTTGACATTATCCACATTCCTGTCGATTTTTTTGTAGGGTGACAAAGAAATGACCGAGCTGAATTTGGAACCAGCTGCGCCGATGGACCGGAGACGGAAGCACGAGTTTCCATTTCTGCAATACAAGTGGATACGAGACGTGTGTCTACCGCTTTACACAGTAAGTTTAAAATGTAAATGGGTTTTAAAGAAGTTTGGGATGACACGAGGATTGGTTCATATGTTTTGAGACTTCTTGAAGTAAATCCAATGGAATTTCAATTATAAAAATTGTTCATTTTTTCGCTTGCATAAGCCCCATAATTGACCCCCTTTATTGCTGTTCAATATACATTTTGCCGATTTCAAAGCGTTTTTTCATGCGATGAATCCAACGATCAGAACAGTGCCAAAAATCGAGGTCTGTTAGTTGATGAGAACACCCTGTGACTTCTGGCTGCTCCCGACAGTGAAGAACGACCTTAAAGAGATTGATTTTGAGGACAGGGTCTGCCTCATTTCCGCCGTCAAAGAGCTGCTTCATCAACTTAAGGAAATCGATTTTCGGCACTGTTTCGATCCTTGGATTTATTGCATGAAAATCGTCTGAAAGTATGCTTAACAGCGCGAAAGTGTAGCCGAATGGTGGGGCTATGCGAGCAAAAATATTTTTTTGGAATTGTTGAAATTCCCTTGGATCTATCACGAAATGTCTCATAGTCTTTGAACTAACCATGTGGGTGACTAATATTTTTTTTTTCAGGCTGTTGGAAAACTGGATTCGAATCTATCTCAGATGGCTGAACGGGCTGCTAGCAACATGGCGCACTGGAGGAGAGAAGCAGAGGCGTTACACTTACTTAACGAGGACGAAATCTGATCATGTTCTTTTTTGGTCATGTCGACTTCTGTTCTTGCGTTCATCGTTCGTCAGCGCCCGAATTGAAATTTTTGTCCAGCGTTTACGTAATTTTATATTGCAATATTCGTTGTTGATGTTGATATTGGTCCCGAGATTGATGCTTTAAAAAAAAAAAAAAAAACCCACAATCCTCCCGAGGATTCTCGAAGCGCAGGGCGAAAAATGAAATTTGTAAGTATTGGTGCGAATCGTGTGCCACGAATACAACGAAACCGAATTCCTTGACGGGAATCTCAGAAAGAAAAACAATCAATCAAAGTTGCGCATAATTTTTTTGTTGTTTTTGTAATGATCATGCTGCTGCCGTGTGGACCGGATACGTATCCTTTTTGTCGCCCTCGTTGCGTTTTACCGCCCGAAAACTCTAGGCTGTTCGGCCCCTTTTTTTTGTGAAAGGGAAGAGAAAAATGGCATGACCCGACACATTTGGCTGTGCTTCCTCTCCGTGCAGTTTCCCTGCAGCCACACCTCTCGTGTTTCGTCCTGCTTCCGGAGAACGGGTCTTGGAGAAGAAAGGATTCTCTGGTCCCTTTTGTATGCTGTGTAAAACAACGCTGTGTGCGGCTAATACTCGCTTATGAGCTAAAGAAAGATACCCTGCGGAAAGAAGAAGAAGGAGATGGGGTTAGTCGAGGCAGGGATGATGAGTGTTTGTCATCGCTGTCGCCAGTGTTTTTTCTTCATCTTGAGTTGATGGCGAGTGAATCCCAGCAGCGCTTTGTTTTTTTTGTTAGACTTGGTTCTTTTTTTTATTGCGGAAGGGGATGAATATTTTGCTTCCGAAGACGAGTTTGCATTCGCTGACCCTGTACCCGCTCTCTGCGCTATGGAGGCAAATACAAGTTCGATAGCTTCGACATGTTCGCCTGTTTTGCTGCAGTTCTCATTATATTGACGATATTGTTCACGTTATATTGACGACGGAGGACCCTCGATTATTTCTGCGCCTATATTTGCCTGTCTTTGAGGATATATTGCGGATTTTTTCGGGATTTTATGCGATGTTCCAGGATTCGTAATTTTGTCAAGTAGAAACTCTCAATAACGAGTAATAAATTACAATGAAGTCATTTAGTTAGGTCCCTGTCCAATAGACAATATGTTGAAAGAGTTCCTCTGCCACTTATTTTTCCTTGTAGTGAAGCTATTTTACTGCTCCTAAAGGCTTTGTTGTGATAAGATTTTGCTCTACTATGGTTCAACCTCCATAATTTGAGCCTCTGGATCTGAGTCAAATAACAGCCGAAGTCAATTTTTTTCGAAGTACCTGTCTAATTAAATTCCCTCAGGAACATGCATTAAAAATCTCTTGTAAACTGAAACAGGTGCACAAACAATTTTGGTTGCAAATGCTGCATTGTCCTAAGAACCATATATGCATATAATTCTTATTCTAATTTTCAAGACATTAATTTCTAAAATGCAAAAGTTTTTGTTCTAATTTTGAAGATGCAGGCTAATTTTTGAAGTATTTTTTATGTTTATCTGAAATTGTGCAAAGACATTGCCAGTTGAAATTATATTCAAACATTTTTGGCTTGAAATTTCATCAGCAACTAATTGACTATTCACTTCAGTAATTTGCAAATCATCTATAGAAGTTATCTTTTTCCTATGGGCAGAATAAATAATGCTGGACTTGTACTCCACAATTTTTTTACATTAATTTAGGTTCTTGAGCTTCCTGTACCTATTTTATAAGGTGTAAGCATTGAAGTAACCCAGGTTACTTGCAGAAAGAAGTTCCACATAAACGCTTCTTGGAGGGAGAAATGCCTTGCTATACATGTACAAGCACCCTGGACCAAAAGAAGCAAACCAATTTTTGACTTGAAATAGCCCAGTAGCAAAGGAAAAAGCAACAACAAATGAACAGCAGCTTAATAGGGTTTATTTATTTGACAAAGAAAATGTCCCACAAACCAGCAACCAACAAACTTCTGCAAACCAGTTGTTTTTGGTCTGCAGACCAATATGGTTGGGGAACAATGATCTACAGTACTGAATACAGGGCCAGATGAAGCTGGGTGCTATTGATGCTGCAGCATTTAGCCCACCAGGAAAATGGGCCCATGGAGAATTCCCCAGCTGGAGAATTCAAATGTTTTGAAAATTATTAAACCTCTGAAATTATGAAAACTGTTCAAAAATTATGAAAGGTTTAGAGCTGAAGAGGTTTGGAGCTGAAGAGGTGTGGAGCTGAAGAGGTGTCCCAGCAAATAATTTACCCGTATTTCCACCCGTCAAAGACCCGTCATACGCGGGTAGCAGCCACCCGTTTTGGGAAACGGGTACTGGGTCGAAAAAAAACGGGTGATCACCCGCTGAACCACCCGTTTCGGCATACGGGTGGTTCTGCTGATCACCCGTTTTCTCCAAACGCCTGCTTAGTTATGGCCAAGGGAGATTCAGCCGTCATAGACGGGTGAATCACCCGTTTTTCGAAAAACGGGTGAAAAATAAAGAGCGCACCGATGCACAAAGCATCGGTGCGCCTTTTATTTTCACCCGTTTNTTGGAGCTGAAGAGGTTTGGAGCTGAAGAGGTTTGGAGCTGAAGAGGGTTGGAGCTGAAGAGGGTTGGAGCTGAAGATGTTTGGAGCTGAAGAGGTTTGGAGCTGAAGATGTTTGGAGCTGAAGAGGCTTGGAGCTGAAGAGGGTTGGAGCCAGGGCCAGATTAAGCTGGGTGCTATTGCTGGTACAGCATTGACCCACCAGGAAAATAGGCCCCTGATGAAGAATTACCCAAGCTGGGGAATTTCCATTTGAAATTCCCCAGCTGGGAAATCCCAACTGTTTAAAATTATGGAAACCCTAGCTGCAAAAACAGAAGAGAGATAAAAGTATTTATGATTTCAAAAAGCAGGTATCAATCAATTCCAGCATGCTCCAAATGAAAAGCAGTGAAGAGCAAACCAGATCAAGGACATAAAATTTGGTTGAGAGCAAACAATCATTCCTGCATTGAATTTAAATCAAGGCCAATGGCCAGAAACAGGAAGACATGGTGCCAACAAATTATGGGAGGAGAAAATCAAATCAAAGGTTTCAATTCAATCCATGCCACTGGCAGCAAGATAAAATCATCACTCCTGTCCCCACTTTGAAAGCCTTTTGTGGCCTCAAAAATCTTCTGAAGTGATTTCTTGGTGTTGTGGCGGAATAAGTTGGTATGTTAAAGTACCGCCGCACTGTATGAGAAATTTGTAAGAGATGCTACTTGATTATTCCTGAACATTCCAGACCTTCCTGATGTTTTCAGCAGCTTCCAACTTGCCGCCATGTCATGGAACATTCAGACAGTGTGGTGTGATATTTTTCTAAAATTTATTCATTTAATTCTGTGTGATTGTTTCACTGTGTGTCTGAATTTGTGAAAAGGTCTGTTTCTGTGTTTTGCATTAAAACAAAATATACTTTTTATTTTTCTTGGTGATCTTGTGAACAAGATCCCCAGCTGAACCCCACAGCTGATTAAAGTGTTTTATTTTGGAATTCCATGCCTTTTTGCACCATTTTTGGTGACAGGTGTGTATAAAATTATGATTTTTCATTTTTTAAACATCATTAATTCATGAACACTTGTGATGTAAAAAAAAAACAATTTTAATCAACCCATTCCCTGTTGTGCCTCCTTGGACAAAAACCCACCACTTAAACATTGTTGCCCTGGTTTCCATGAATGCAAGTGTCCCTTTTTTGAAGGGGATATGCTTTTTTGAACACTTTAGCTTGACCAAGGCAATCTTGGCCAAGCCATATTTCCTACAATGACTTCCAGGAGCAGGAGATTGGCAAAGTGAGTTCATTATTCTGGACATATGCCTGTTCATCTTGTGTTTGGAAAATGAGTCTCCATCTTGCCAGTTTTCAATATAAGAAAATCCACAGTTTCAATATATATTTTCTAGTTTTTCCATTGCTCTATATAGTCCATACAACAAATCATGGGAGGAGAAAATCCAATCCAAGGTTTCAATTCAATTGTAGAAACATTTTGGGGGGAATTCACA